GAAAATAGATAATGCCTCAAATTAATCCAATTTATAGTTAATTAACATCTTTTGAATAAAATGATTAACTTAACAATCTTTCATTAAATCAATTAAATCATTATATTTGCAATTAAATCATTATATTTTTATAAAAATATATACTGCATAATATTGCCATAAAATTATTTGCAATGTTTAGTGAAGCAAAAATTTTTCGATTTATATGAAAAATTCAATTCAAACTGATTCAAACATTTAGAAATTTACAGTAATTTCAGATTTGCGCGGCAAATTTTTCCAAATTATTTCACTTCTTTCAGCTTTAATACATTATTTTGTTCTGCTTTAAGCTTAAACTTACAAGAAGTCTTTGATTAATTATACTTTAATTTATAAAATATGAAATTTTGTCTTTGTCATGTTTGATCTTAACACTTTGTATTTTGTAATATTTTTAACAAATTTATCTAAAGCTAAGCAGTAATTTTTAGAATTTCTGGATTACAAACACATCTAAAAGATGTCAAGCAAAAGCATGAAAGTGAACTTCAAAGCTTGAAGAATGAAGTTTCTGAACTAACTCAAAAGTTTGCTAATTCTTCCTGTGCTTACAGTACTACAAAAATCATAGCATGAAATTCTTGTTATAATTAATCAATGCTATAATATTATCAATAATTGTCATAACAATATTTTAGGAAGAAGAAATTGGAAGAAACAATGAATAAAACTAAAACTCTCGTTAAAAATATGAAAAAACAAAGCAAAATTCTAATAAACAGTTTGGAACAAACGGTTGATCCGCAAGATTTGGCAAAGGAAATGAAGGAAGTACTTAATTTTAGATCAGATAATTAATGATTTTCAGTTTTGAATTTAATGAATACATGCCAGAAATCTTTGCATATTATTTGTATTTGAAAAATATTAGTAAAATGCAAAATTATTCTGATAAATAACTTGAAATACAAAAATATATACTTGCATATTTATTTATTTTAGTGTTTTTTATTTTTATATTTACACATTTATTCATGTATAAAAGTGGCATTAGTTCTGTTTTAAATTAATTATTGCATATATAAAAATATGAATCATGAGTACTTAATTAATATATTTGTAAAGGAAATTTGTTGTTTCAGCTTCTTGAAAAATATTCGCGTTTAACAGAATTAATTACTAATACTGATGAACTTTTGGTTAAGATACAAAGTGAACCTTCAGGAATAACAACTGATTCTAAGTAATTTTTTCGTGCAAATCTTCAGAGTTTTTTATAGCAGTTTACAAATACTTCAGAAAAAGCTAAATCATAATTGAATTAAATTAACTTATTAAAACAAGTTTTAATTTACAAAAAATTTACTTTGTATTAAATATTCATATTAATATTTTAGTATTCTTGTTAGAACAATAGATCTATTTCTTTTATAATAAAAAATTATTCAGAGAAATGCATGAAATGATTGAGAGTTTAAAAGATCAGTTACAAGAAAATAATCAAAAATATGAAGATTTGTTTGAAGAAAAGAAGGATGCGGAATCTCAACTTGATGATCTACGTGAAAAACTTCGCAACACGTCTATTCGGTTTGAATGATACAAATATTTGTTTTGCTAAAATTAATTTTATAATATTTTTTATATTTTAATAATTTTTTGAATATTTTTAAATTTTTTGATCAAAAAGAAGTGCAAATATAAAATGTGAAAAAATTATATACTCAAAAAAAAATTAACGAATAAATCATAAACTATAATGAAGTACTAAAATTATTACTTTCGCTTAATTATACTCAATCTTTTTTCATTAATTAAGCTAAAGTCAGCCATTTTAAAAATCTGATTAGGACGAACACAAATTTTAAAAAATTCATTCTTTTAATACTTGAAATTTTTATTATTAGGATAACTGAATTGGAAGAAGAATTGATGAATGCGAGAAAAGTTGAAAAAAGAGCACTTGAAAATTTGGTTAAAGAAAATGAAGGATTAAGTAAAAAGTATGTTTATTGGTTACTTGATAACCTCTGACCTTATTATAGGCAATATTCTTGTAAGGATCGGAAGTAGAAAAACAAGGTTCCTGGTGGTTTTTTTTTCATTTTGTTGGCTATTATAGTGTAATAAATTTCAGGAATAATCACTTGAAGGCAAGTTTGAAGCAGCTGAAGAATAAACTTAAAGAAATCGAAGAATCAGCAAAGAGCCAAGCTAAAGAAGTAACATTAACTCTTATGTTGTAGCAAATTAGCATAATTAAGTTTCAAATTAATAAATAAAATTTATTATATAATTTTAGTATATCTGTTCGAAATGCCAAGCAGTATATGAACCCACACCTCCAACAAATATCAGTAATGAACTCAGGTTTTAATTTAAATTATTCATATCATAATTTTACACATGATTAAGTATTTTATTCCGATAAAAGTCAAAAGGTGACAAGGTCAAACGTTGAAAAAATATATTTGCAAAATTTTTTATACTGCTTTTTTCGTTTGTTTATCCTTTCATTTTCACCAGCAAAATAATTGCTAATTTTTAGTGCAATAAGTAAATCGTTGCGTGAACTTTGCGAGGAATTAAATCATCAGAGGGTAATGGATATCCTTATGGATCAAAGCAAGAAAGCGGAGAAAGCAGTGGAAGAAAGAAAGCAATTTTTGGCCGATACTTTTGCGAAGTTTGTTAAATTATACATTCGAAATATAAAAAATAAATTTACATGAGGTCAATTTTTTATGGCGGGAAATTACTTGAGGTAAACAGTCAAAAGTTTGCTTTGAATTCCGGGTTTTTGAATCTTTTTGGAACTACTGCTTTAATTATTAATGCATTAAGTCATGGTGTACTTAAATGTTATATTCAAAGTATCCATTTTATTATTATTATTATTGTTAATTAATTGATTAATTAAAGATATATACCAAGTATTATTTTCAGAATAACTGCATTACAAACAGAAATTTTGGAAACTGTTAGCGAAGAACGGACAGAAGTCTCTGAAACGTAACTTAGCACCCTTTTCTAGCCATAGTGTCCGCTCAGCTTCTTCGAGACTTGTGATAATTTTATGAATTTTGTCGTATAAAAATTTGAATTTATTTTTGTTTATTCACAAGCGAAAAATGCTCAATTCAGACTTAATCAAACATTAATTGTGGAAATGAAAGTTAAATTATATCAAAATAAATTAATACGATTGATTATAAAGTATACAATTGGAACAATCAGTGATGGATTTATAATTTTCAACACAATTTATCTATTGAAGAAGAAACTTGTATACAAATCAAATTTTCGCACACTGATCACAAATAATTTGCACAGTTTTAATTTATATACTTGATTACTTGAATATTATTTGATTTGTATTATTTAAATGCTGAATATTGTAGAAATATTGATCATACGAAAACGATGGAAGAGTTTGAGACAGTTCCTCGTTTGGATTATAATCAACCAGTCGAATGAATACATGCATGTTTTCAGTTACTGTATAAAATATTTAAATATATCAAGTAAAGACGTTGTATTAAATTAATAAAAGTGTAAAATAATCCCATGTATACCTTTCATGTCTTTGCATTGAATCCATCAAAATATTTAAAGAAGCGTAACACTATGAAAGTCAAAGCTTAATTTAAGATTTCTTTTGTGAATTGGAAGGAATTGGTAAGAAATAATAGCAGAGAATTTAATACTACTGCAGCCTTAGATTGAAACTTGCTTTCTTTTTGCTACAAACTCATTTTAAATTTGAATTTATTTTAATCAAGAATTAACTCGTCATCTTTGACCCACGTAAAAATCATAATTAATATTAAATTTTTATTGAATGAGTATTTGTCTTTTAGCAGTAAATTATTAAAACGAATTAATGGAAATAGAAGGAAAGAATTTTATGAGAAATTTATTATAATACAAAGATTAGAATATGAAATACAATTGTAACAAATAATTATTTGTATTAAATTCTTATTTGTCCGTTTCCGTCATTTACGTGTCTTCATTACATGACTTGTATTAAATGCTGTGACTTAAACGCAAATTCAATTATCAATATTGTTTTTTTCACAAATTATGAAGCTATGAATATAAAAAATTATTAATATACGATATTTTCATCGCGTCATTACCGTGCTGTTTGTATTCCAATACCAATATTTTTATACCTATCATTTTTTCAAGTTCAATACCTTTAATAGCTATTTATCAATCATTTTATTGTCAAAACTAAAATTTTTTTACGATCAATCAATAGTTATCAGCAAAAATCGTTCGATAATTAAGAGTGATTAACTGTAATGTAATTTTTGAAAACTGTTAAAACAGTACAAAAATAATTTCTTAAATTATTTAAACAAGTCAAGAAAAGTAAAAAAAAATTATTTTTTGCAAAAAAATATTTTTAAAAATGTATTCACAAGAAAAATGAACTTTTAGTACAAAAAATGAGAAAATTAATAGAGAAAAAAATCGACAAGTTAGAATTAATATATTAGCAAGAAAATTTTCAGAAGCACATAGTTTTTGAGTGATTTTTGCTTGCCAATTCTTACATATCAGTGAAATAAAAGCGAAAAATTGCCATTGCTATTGTATTCTTTGCTATTATTTCTGAATTATTACTTTTTATACTTCTTTTTTAACTTTTTATTAATTTATATTTTTTACTCTTTTTAATACAAATAATTCCTCAGCTTTTTGTTTTTTCTCTATGTAAACTTTGTAATCAATCATAATTTAGGCTGAAAAATACTAATAAACTAAATAATATTTATATTTAATTCTCCGCTGCCAACCCAAAATTGTATGAAAATTTTTCAAATATTTTTTGCTATTTTTTGAAGTTTGTTTGCAATGTTTGATTATAAAGTTTTCTATTTTCTGCTACTATCGATAAGTTTTTTCAGGCAAAATTTTAAAATACTTTTATTGTAATGTTATCGGTGGAATTTCAAGAAAAAGTTTTCAATTTTAAACTTTTAGTTATTTTTAGAACTAACTGCTTTATTAATATATAATTATTGGTGAGATTGAGAACAAAATATCCGTCAGGATCTATAAAATATGCAAATTTTTAATCAATTAGTAAAATTCGAATTGATTATTTAAAAATGACTTGCACAAATAGGTAGAATATTTATTAGAAGTGTGATGCAATACTAAATAAAATATTGACCAAAATTAAAGTTTGTTACAAAGAAACAAAAACTTTGATTGAATTCTTACTATATACTTTAACATTTTGCTCAAAATCATTTGCATATTAAAAGTTAGCATATATAAGAGTTAATTTTGCATGTATTCAAATTTTGAACAATTAAATGTTGCTGTAAGCTACGCAATAAATTTGTAAATTTAAATTTACACGTATAGTTTGTTTAAGAGCGTGTAGTTTTATCAAAATGATAATTAAACGTTGGTTAAGTTTCAAAATCATATTTTTGCAATGTCAATCATACCTTTCCAATCAGACAGTAAATGACAAACAACTGAAAGAGTTTTTCGCCATTTACTCTTTCAGCTGTTCCGTCATTTACGTGTAATTTCAAATCATACGTTTCCAATTACTACCTTTCCAATGTGACTACTTCACAGCTTATTAATGCACTTTATGTATTCTTCTTTCAGCGATCTATAACTAATCTACTTTTGGTGTGACTTACGCTCATTACTTAACCTTTAATGACCTTTCTCTCTGTTCAAACAGACAATCTTGTAATAATCTGAATTACATAAAACTCATTATCATGTTAATTAAACAAAAAAGTGTTGCTAATTTTTGTATTTTTATCTTATTTTTTAATGCAATTTTTTATTTTATTATATTTTTAAAATGAAATTGTTAGAATTTTTTCATTATTTTGTTTTAAATCAATTTATTTTGAATTTATATTCATATTTGCTGACATTTATCAAGTTTTTACTTTTAAAATTTATTATTATTATTGTCATCGTTATTTTTATTATTACCATTATTATTATTATTATTATCATAATTGCTATTATTATTATGAAGTGCAATAATAAGTTGTGAAAATATGTAAATATATAACCTTTCTTCAGAATATTTTAGAAGGAAGAAATGGCTGCAAATCACATGGAACAACAAGAAATCATCGATGCAATTATTGTTGAAAGAAAGGCAATTACATTTGAGCGTGATATTCTGAAACACAAAGTAGAAAATTTAGAACAAAAGTGCCGCGAATCGACCTTTTGTAAAGTGGAGGTCAGTATTATGGTAATTGACATTTTATAGTAAGGCGATACGATACTGTTAATTTTTTGGTACTGAAAGTTAAAAATTATTCTGTTTTGAATTTATAGTATTTTTTTAGTTAATGTTACACTTAAATTTTGAATAAAGCAAAATGTTTTGCAGCATTAAATACTAGTTTTTGAAAACTAATTCAAATTTTTGAACATTCGCAAAAATTATTTTGTAGATACAAAATTAGAAAAATTTATTGATCTTTCTTTAGCTTAAAATTTAAATTTTTGATAAAAGTATAAAATTTTGGGTCACTTAAAGGCTTTTTATAATTGAACAAATTTGGAAATAATAAAATAATAGCACATAAATTTCAGCTTGATTTACAATTTAGCAATGAATTTCTGCTCTAAAATCATTTAAAAATAAAAAAACTTTTTTAAGGCTTAGTTCAAAATTGACCTACTAGAAAAATTATATATGTAATCAATTTTTGGCGGTAATTTATTCAAACTCGAGAAAAAAAAAAGTGAAATTTAAAATAATAATGTTGAAAGTATTAGTGTTTGGTGCTATTAATGTCATCCAATCATATTATTGTAATTATTTGAATATTATAATCTATGAAAATACCTTTTATGCTAATTAACTTTTTTAGCTTGAAGCAATGATTGTGATCACAATAAGTAATCCGAGTACTAATATTATTGAAGAGAATGTTTTCAATAATTTAATAACGAATTTTGAAGAATGAAAATGTGAAAGAAATGCAAATGAAATTGAATGAAAAGGAAAATCAACTTCATCAGATTACTTTTGATATGAACGAGAAAGAAGAAGAAATTACGTATGTTTCTGCAAAATATTTATGTCTTATTCTCAATTAATTAATTAGTTTAATTAAAAAATTTAAGTAATAAAAGATAGCTTTATTCGCTTAGTCTTCTTATAATAATTAATGATTTGACTTATTATCCCGAATTGATAATCGATTTAATGCACTAAATTTTTGCAAAATTGGTTTTAATATTATAATAATGCAGAAATTTGCATGCGGTCATCAAAGATCTTAGAGATGAAATCAATGAGAAAAACTGTATCATCGATGATCTGAACAGGATTACAAGTGAAAAAGAATGGAGCCTGGGAGAGCACAGGCAGTGGCTTGCTGATGCCAACAGAAAGTATAAACGAACTCAGAATCTTTTTACTTTTCTAATTAATATTATATATTTGTTGTAAATTATATGAATAAATTGCCACATTCAAAGTCTTATAATCAAAATTATATTATTTTGCTTGAAAATTAATTAAAAAATTATTTTTATTAAAAATAGGATATTTTTCAGTACTTTTCTTAGCTCACAATAATTTAGTCTCAAAATATACGCTTGAAAATTATACTAATTTTTAAGATGACCTTCGTTATAGGGTAGGTCATATGAAATGTGAACTAAACAGCATTCGAGAACAAGAGAATTCTACTAACGAGCAATTAATTAGGCTAAAAAATGAAATTGAAGAGAAAAACGCAAAAATATCAGAACTTAATGACAAGTAATTTTTTTGGTACATATTTGAAAATGTTTGCTTGACAGAATTATGTAAATATGTACTTTTTTCTTTTGAAAAATTCATTTAATTCATTTTAATTCTGTATAAATTATTAACAGAAAAAAATCAGAATTCGTTTTTAAATAATTTCCCGCGCAGTTTAGATGCGCGAAAATGGTAGTACAAATTGCTGCATTCGAACAAAAAAAAGAAACGATACCAAATGAGGTATGGACTGTGATATTATCATACTAAATTGTCAATTTATTAGCTATAAACTTCATTAACTCATCAAAAAATGTTAATTAAAATTATTATCTTTCGAACGAAATGGTATTGGAAAACTGCAACTTCTATTTACCAGTTATCTGAATTGCAGGTCAAATTTTTTATCCAACTTGAAACTGAAATACAAACCAATTGATCTCTAACACTTTGAACTTTGACATCAAAACAAAAAAAATTTTTCCCGCTTCTGAATTGATTTTCTCGCTTATTAAATAAATAACTTTTATTTTTCCTAATGCTTCTTAATCTGTAACCTGTGATCAGAACAAAAGTATACGTGTCTTTTATTCTGAGCACTTAAATTAGCACTGAAGAATTCATACAACTTTGGTATTACAATGAAAGAAATGCACCTAACTGTAAGCAACTTTGTCCATTTCTTTGATAGTTTCACTGATAAGATTAAGTTTTTTCATTGTACTCTGCACCTTTTATGGCATTTCTTATCGGGACATTAAATGTTATACTTTGAAGTAAATCTGATAAGTTTGTTTTCAAATAAAAGCAATCAATACAATTAATAAATAAAGATTATGCAATATGAAAATAAAAAGTACCCATTATTTATTACTTATGTGCAGTCAGCTTAGAAGACGATATCTGATTATTCGAGCTCAGAGAAGAGTTTGAGCTTAGCTTGATCAATCATTTTGCTAAGTGATCAGGTTCAGCAAGTTCTAGCAAGCTTTCGTGATAAATTAGTCCAAACTAAACTGATCAGATATCAAGAAATTGATCGTAAGATGTAATCTGTAGTTGTTAACATACTAACTATATCATGCCAACTATTCAAGTCTCACTCTGAAATCTCTTTTTTTCAAATTACTTTCAATATTTATGACTGCTTGATGCAATCTTTGAAATAGTGTTTATAAGAGTTAACATAGAACAAAAATCTTTGTTTGTGAAAGCTTTCTTTAGAACTTGGCGGATTAAATATATTCAAGATTTAATATTTCATTAAGTATAATTAATTACATAGCTTAAAGTGCTCAGCTAATTTGATTAAAGATCTGATATTGAGCTGATATGAATGATAACTTTTGAAGTAATCTTTGTTGAGAGTATGCTTTTGTCATTTGTAAGCTTCAGTGAAGCAAGATTAATTTGCAATAAATTCTTAGCAATAAGAACGAATGATAAATTTGAGTCTGAAATTCGCTATTCATTATAATTTTTTCAGGATAAGGTATTAGAATTATCAGCACTTCGAGAAAAACTTTGTAACGCAGAAGAATACGTTAAATTTCAAGCTGAACAATTAGAATACCTTAGACAAGTAAGTCATAACTAGAATTGATTGTCTAATAAGCAGTTTGTGAATAACACTCATAGCAAAGTAATCCTTCCTTTTTAAAGTTGACTGCTTTGAAAATTTTTAATATTTAATTAAATTAATTACTAAAATTAAAACTTATCAATGAAAGAAGAAATTTTCAAAGTAATCAGCTTTAAAAATAATATAAAGTTACTGCTGTAAGCTATATTTAATTTATGATAAAACACATTCACAGAAACAGTTTGTTTACAAATGCTAAATGCACTAGCTAATCATTAATTATCACTTAGACTGTTCTTAGCAATAATTAATTATTAGGTAGTGTGGTTTTAGCATTCACAAAAAATCGTTGATAATACTACAAATTAGATTTCATATTCTTAAATAAAATTAATTACATAGCATAATATGTAATTAATTAAGTAATTAACAAAATTTTTGATCAAAATAACCTCTCAGTTCTGGTTAAAATAACTGAGAGGTTATTTTGATCAAAAATTTTGTTTTCTGATATGAACAATAAATATTACTTAAAAACCTTATATCCAGTTGATTTGAGTGTAATTAGTTTAATACGGGTGATATATATATTGAAGAAAGAAAATTTTACAAGATATAGCGTATTGATTGAATATCCCGATAATAGCAGAAAATCAATAACAAAAAATGTTGTATTAGAAAATAAAAATTGCAGTGGTACTATTATTAATTTTAGCAAAATGCTCAAATGCAATTAGAAGGGCCGTACGATTCTTCTTCACTCAATGGTATTTCAAATATAAATTATATAAATTAAACTCTTTCAATTGCTTTATTAAAAATTCTTAGAGAATATATTTGAATATATTTTTTGAATAATTTAATTTAACAAAGTCTAAAAATAATTTTATCTCATTTAGAAAGAAAAAGCAAGATCAGTCTCAGCAGCAATAAAAAATTAGCCAATGTAAAAGCAACATTTTTTTGAAATTAAAATAATAATTTCGAACATTTTGATAATTGCATTTTAAATCATTTTATAGTCACTTTATCATTTTATAGTACAAAAATTTTATCATGCATTTTTTCTATCCTTTTTTTTTTGAATAATAAAGTAATTAATTTCAGAGTATTCAAAGCCACTGTTAATAATTCAGTTCATTAAAATTATTTTCAATAATTCAGGACTAAAAATTGCTTATTTTGATAAAATTGATAAGATTAAATTATTCAAATGATATATTCAAATATATTTTTACTGAATATAATTTAATATAATTCTTTTGTTAACGAAATTTTGCTGAACAAAATATTTTTGCATGCTCACAATTTGTTACAACTAATTTGATTACCATTCTTTTTACAGTAGATAAAAATGTATTGTTTTTATCTTGATAAATATTCTTTATGACTAACAATTATTCATTACTCAAACTTAAATTTAATATTATTCATCATTTTTTTGAACACAAAAAGTACTCACTATTGAGGCTTACTTACTCTATTGCTTCAAATTGTGTACTGTTTAGTACAAGTCTACACATTAATGCTCTTTTCTTAACTAAATATTTTGGCAAACTTATCAAAAAATATCAAATTAAATGCTTAATTTCAAATAAAATTTATTTTATTTCATATTTGCAATTTTGTGTAATTATCAAACTTGCAGAGTTATTAATCTTTGGCTTACCACAAATATGCAAATTTTAGTGACTGATTAACTTAATATTTTCAAGCATTTGTTGGAAAGGATACACTGACTCTGTCTGAACACTATCATGATTTGTCATCTGAACTAATCGTTCTGAATCGTAGGAAATATGAGTTGGAAGGAAAAGTAAGTTTAAAATTTTCAGAATCCAGAAGTATTACCCTTCTTGTTCTTTCTGCAGAACATTTTTTATTACAATTTCCAACTGCAAAAACCATTCATCGTGTTTATTTAGTTAATTAATCTATAAAATGAATATTTTTATTTGTTTTGTTTATGAAAAACTTTACTTACATTATTTATAAATAAACGCGAACAAATTATTTAAGCATTAATTTTACGTGTTGTTATTATTCTTTTATATTTGATCATCAGATCCAATACTACCAATTATGGAACATTTTTGTACATTTTTTCAAATATCTTCACGTGTTATTTATTATATCCTATACTTTTATAAAATTAAACAATTTTAGATCGAGTAACTCATTAACTCGAATATCATTTGAAATATCAAGAAGTGTTAAAGATATGTCCAAAAATAAAACTATCAATAACTGCTGAACATTTGAGAGAGAAAAAACATTAATAATTGATAGAAGGATACATCACTGACCATTTTTAATTAACTTCAGTGGTGCTTGAATAAGAAAGGCCAGACTGTGTAATTACATAATAATGTCTTATTTACA